ATATTTTCAAATTTTGTCAATTTCTGTAGCTAGATTATCGTGATTATATTGGTAAAATCCGGAAAAGTATGGATTATCGGAGTATTTAAATAATGATAAACTGGATAATAATCTAGAACATTAAGATGGTTATTCGTATTGTATTCTGACATACATTCACAGTAAATTTGTATCAGTCGTATCTCGTATCTCGTATTTCAACATGTTTCACGTGAAGATTTTCTATTTCAATGCCTTGAACTTAGGGTCACGTTGTATACAGAGATGTAGACACAGAGATGTTGGAATTAGAAAGCATTTGTAGAGGCAGTACACGATATAGGTCGTTGGATGAAAGTGGTGTAGTGATGTTTGATGCTGGTCCGGTGGCCAGACTCACGTTTCACGTGAAAGTTCGCGGAGATGTAGGAACAAGGTTGATGTCAGTGACCTGGTTATTTTTGGACCAGTGTCTCGAACCGCGTGTACTACTTATTGTTTACTGGCCGAATGAATAAGAGTATCGAGGAAAAATTAACAATTTAAAAAGGAACTGTTCTACAATTTCTCATTTCCTCTACATTCTACATTTTTAAATTTACAAGTAGACCACAAAATTTGGGTAAACATTTACGAAACATTTATCAATAATAATCTGAGATCTTGCAAAAATTTCATGCGAAAAATTATGAAAATTTATTATCTATACAAATGTACAAACATTCGTAGTTTACCGAAAATTTTCGAGTCGTCAAGAACAGCCCTCTCTAAATTCCATTCCGAATACCGCGGTTTCTGGGTCAAACGATCCGAAACAAAAATAAAAAAAACTTCCACTCGAGTCTGATCTCGAAAAAGTTCGCTCTCTCGGACTAGCCAGCCGCGTTTGATCCACGGGACGACGAAGAAAGCGACGTTCCCAACCGCGCGCCGTCGAGGGATGGCCATTCGAAAATGCTAAACGTTCCATTTTTATTCGCCGCGATTCCTGTGATCCCGGGCGAGTGTAATTTCCTCCCGAGTCTACTACTCGCCGGCAAAAAAAAAAAAGGAAAAAAAAAACTTTTGATTTACGATTGTGTACCGTAAAACGTATCTGGCCGATGATCGCTAAATCGAAACGCGAATTGTATAGCAGTGCCACTTAAGTACCGTTACGCTGGCCCCGTGGATTATCGTCGACCGCGAGCATTTATCATCCGGCCATTAACCGGCAAGACTTTCGTTATCTTCGGCGAAACGGATCTACGTGCGTGCTTTCTTCCTCGATACTCACTTCGATAATTGCTTCGAAAACCGCCACGATTTCACGCGCGAGGCCACTCGATCGAAGCCACGAGCTCGTGGTTAACGTAATTAAGAAATTAATCACTGGAAATATGAAGTAAATTTTTATCGAATAAGTCATTCATATCGCATGATTAGCATGACTTGGTATTTTATGTCAATGAAAATTTTTCATACGCGAGAGAATCGATTGAAATCGCAAGAAATGAAGTTCAACCATGTTTCTTCCTCTATGAAACGATCAAAAATTCTGTGTAAATTTTTGTTCAATAAATCAGAGAGTACTGTAGATATTCAGCATATTACATTAATGTAGAAGAATATATATCGAATTCCGTAAATTTTGTCAGCATGGACATGTTTGATTCGTATCTTTATGATTCTTAGATGATTGCGAATGTTTATGTAAATTTAGGTTTCTAAGGATACAGCTAAAGAGATAGAAGGCAGTATTTAACAAGGATCGTAACAAGACATTTTATACATTCCATGTATGTTTTGTGTATTTTCTGCATTTCCAAACGTTTTAAATTCTTCGTCAAAGCATTCGTAGTCTGGTAATTAGGAATAAAAGAAATAGAGGAAGTTCAGTCTCATTAATTTAACTTTTTATTCGTCGCTATTCAACATTCCGCACCGCTAAGCTTCAGCTGGCCTGTATCCTCGAGTTCGCGTTGAATGAACCGCAATGAAAGATCGCTGCTTCCTCCTTCTTTGTAACTGAAAATGCTTTCGCATAAGCGCGTACTAGGAAGCGAATGCCTTCGACGATCGTTAACGATGCTACTATTCCTGTTTCGTCGGATAATTTATGAATCTCGATGAATCGTCCGTCGCTTTTTCGGATTCCTCAGATGATTTATTTTTTTAAATATTAATTTTGAAAACATTTTCGCGATTCAAGAGTAGGCTTATTTTTATTTCGGAATCGGTCAACAGAGGTACGAGCTGATATGATCGTGTGATTAATCGAATTCTTTACTGTCTGTTTTATCGAAGAAATTATTCAAAGTTGCAAATTAGTATTAGACCAACCCATCAAATATATTTTTGTCGATTCTCCGAGAATGATTTAGTCTGAGATAATTTTTCATCCCATATCTGGTTGAAACGTATTAATAAACGTAATAGAAAAAACCAAATTAATTAAGTAACGGTTTCTGTGCAAATTTCTATGCGCTTTATGCTCGAACTCACTATGAATGGTCACGACAACTCGGTCGTCGATTAACTTTTCTCGATCACGATAATTTCTCGCATCGACTGAATAATCCATCCACTTTTTTGCAATAAAAAGCACACAGTGTGTCGTTTCGCGTACTTCGATCTATCAGAGTTT